TTCATTTGTTATTTTTTTCTTAAATGGCAACTGAAAATTAAAATTCTAAATTAATATATAAATCTAATTTTTCATTGGTCGAAATATTACTTTTTCTTATGTAGCGTGCGATGCACAAATTTTTATATACGTTTTGTATATAATTTTTTTTTTTTTTGTGATCTCTTAATTTTTTTCTTGCATTATAAGTTTTAAAATTTTGTATGAAAGTATCATATCATCAGATATTTACATAAAACCATTAACATCAAATGATAATTTATATTTTTTAAATATCAAAATATAATTTTTAGTTTTTTAAATAATATAAATCCTAATATCTAAAGATATTTTTTAGTTTTGTAACAAATAAAAATGATAAAATTTAGTGTTCTTAAATAATTAAAATCCTAATAAATTAATATTCGTCGTTTTTACCTACGTGGCAAAAATTTAAAATTTCATTCGTCGCTTTTGTTTAGGTGGCGAGTGATATTTTTAATTCTAAAATAAAATAGAATTCTAATTTTTAATTGGTCGAAAATATACATTTTCTTATATGGCGCTCTCAATGCTCTCCAAAATGTCTACTTTATTTATATATATTAGATTAGATGATTTCAAGTTTAATGATGAATATTTGAAATTTGATATGAGTTTGCTTTTCTAGGTCTATAAATTAGTAAATCACAAATTTTTATATGTGGCATGTTGTATTGTGCGGTAGGGGTTATTTGAGCTTCTCTGTCAGGGCTTACTTGAGTTTAATGGGGTTACTTGTTTTCTCAGTAAGGGGTTACTCAAGTTTTCGGGGTTACTTGAGTTTCTCGGTCAGGGTTATTTGAGTATAGTTTCCCGGTCACGGCTTACTCGAGTTTCTCGTTCAGGGGTTACTCAAGTCACAATACCTAACTGAGAACATCGAGTAACCCCTAACTGAGAAACTCGATTAAACCTTGACTGAGTAACCCTTAACCGAGTGAACCCCTCGAGTAACCCCTGTCCAATCATCTCAAGTAATCCACTAACCCCTGACCGAATAACCCCTGACTGAAAAACTCAGGTAATCCCTGATTGAAAAACTCAGGTAACCCCTAGTAAAAAAAACCAAGTTAACCCCTCGTGCATGATGTGACTTGCTGCATGAAAAAGTTGCTGTTAGTAAATGGAGTTATCTCTCTTATTTGTAATAGAATTAACTCCATGAAACTACTTCAATCCTCTATTGTTTCCTCTGTAACCACATTAAATTTTAAATGACTAAAATTGATAAGAAACAAAAGTTATGATATGACTAAGGCTGACAATTTCACCCGAACTCATGGATAACAAAACCACTCGATCTGATTAAATGGATGATAACCGATAAAACACAAATTTTATACGGATGGTGGATGGACCGGGTGACAGATGAGGTCGGATTCGGGTGGAGTGTCATCCTCCTGACCCATCCATTCATCCGCTTATAATTTTTAAAATTTTACAAATATTTTTTTTACCTATTTATAATTCTACATTAACATATACTTTATATATAGTAGTAATATTACTTAAACTTTGTATAATAAAGTGAATAATGGAAAATTTAAAGACTTTGTCAACTATATATATCAAAATTCTTAGTTTATGTATATTAGTATTATAAATAAACGATTGTGTATTTTATTTCACCCATTATTCACCCGTTTCACCCGATTCATCCGCGGATGATGGAAGGGTTGGATGTGGATGAAAAGTTAAACGGTGATAGATGGGTTGGATGACGAATGAATCGTTGGCGGATCCCTATCCACCTCCAATCCATTGCCAGCTCTATGTGTGACCATATGAGACAGTGTTTAACGAACACCTCTATATTATAAATGAAGCAAATAAGACCCCATTCTTTTGAGGTTCTAGGCAAAACAGAGTAATAGAACAGATTTGAGAAGAGTAGCTCAAAAGAACAGGGCCTAAATAGGAAGGAAAGGAGTAATTGTTAAATGAAGAGCATATATGAACAACCTTATCCATAAACAAAACAAAAGTTGGGAGGGAAACAATCACAACCAACAGCCAATTTCTCAAGCCACTTCCCCTGCATAGCAATGGCGGCAGCAGCATCTCTTTCCACCATTGTAACACCTGCAACCTCCTCTTCTTCTGTCTCTTTCATCCCTTCTGAAAACTCCTTCACCTATTTTTCACCTAAACCAAAACTTCTCCACAAAACCCTCACTCTTAAATCCCAGAATTTCACTCTATCTCCTCTCCCTCTTCTCTTTCCTCTCCACTTCTGCCACTCTTCCTCCGCTTTCAACGATACCGAAGACTCCATAACTGATGAATCAGAAGAGAACCCAATTGAACTAGAGCAAGAACAAGAGCTACAACAAATTCAAGAGCAAGATGAATTAGAAGAAATTATAAATTCAGAAAATAAAGGGGTTGATTCAGTTGACGATTGCAGGCTATTTGTTGGAAATTTGCCTTATTCTATGACTTCTGATCAATTGTCTGAAGTTTTTGCTGAAGCCGGTCAAGTACGGTTCATTGAGGTATAATAATCTCTTTCTAATTTTTATTTTTATTTTTAAAATTTTTGGAAAATCTGATTTTTAAATTATTTTTTGTCATTGCACAAATTTTCAGATAATATATGATAAGGTAACTGATAGGAGCAGAGGGTTTGGATTTGTAACCATGGGAAGCGTTGACGAGGCGAAAGAGGCCATTCGATTGTTTGATGGTTCTGTAAGTTCTTCTATATGTTCTCTTTTGTGGCGCCTATATTTTACAAGTTTCTGTCTGTTAATTAGCTTGCTAATAGAGTTACACAGAACTCAAAGTTTTTCGCAATTTATATTATACACTCGGGAGAATATGTATTTGTCTGTTTAATTGTCGAACTACTTCACTAGAAGGCTTAGCTTTGAACTATTACACCTTGATACACAGTTTTCGAATTAGTCTAAGGATATTAGGGCCTGTTCTGATTGACTAAATGAAACTGAATTGAACTTATCTCATTGGAGCTGAACGGAAGGAAATTAAGAACTGAACTGAACTTATTGGAGCTGAACTGAAGAGAACAGGCCGTAAGACAAACCAAACTTCCTGAAAACAATCATATCCAATCAATCCTTGAATTCACACCTGTTCTCGTGGTCTATGTTCTAGAGCCTGGTAGCACTAACACAGCTGTAAAACAGATTATCCTAATTGAAAGTCTGCGTATTCAGAATGAATATTTGAGACAGGGCAAACTGGTTATCTAGATTAGTACAGTATATGATCCTTATCATATGCTCTGTGAAGTTTGTTTGTTCTCAATAACTGATTTTATGCAAAGTGCTTGATGATTTTGAAATATAAATTGATAGTGCTGATTTGGAAACAATTAGAACTGATTTAGGTGAGACTGGAGACTGACCGAGGACCATCACATAAGTTAAGCCAACTATGGCTTCTTCTTGGTCTTCATGAGTATCGGAACCTCTTCTGTTGTGATGATCTTAATGTTGGCCGACAACTTCTGAATCATAACTGATGAACTAAGCATTGGCTTGGTGTATTGGCTAAGAGGTTGCAAAACTAGATTTGCAGATGCTAAGTTTACAAAAAATGTATAGATTAGTCCAATCATCAATCTGTAAACTGTACTAAGGCTTCAGTCAAATGAGCTATACCTTGTTTTAATGGAAGTACAAAATTAACATATGTGATTAATTTTCCCGCTGAGTAATTGAGAAATATTTGGCAGCAAGTTGGAGGCCGAACTGTGAGGGTGAACTTTCCAGAAGTGCCAAGAGGTGGTGAGAGGAAAGTAATGGGGCCAAAACTTCAAAGCAGCAACGTAGGTTATGTGGATACTCCTCACAAGCTCTATGCTGGTAATCTCGGATGGGGCGTTACATCACAAGGACTACGAGAAGCCTTTGCAAACCAAGAAGGTTTTCTTAGTGCTAAGGTGATATATGAGAGAGCAAGTGGAAGATCTCGAGGTTTTGGCTTTATCACTTTCTCAACTGCTGAGGCTGCAGAGTCTGCTCTCACTACTATGAATGGAGTGGTAAGAACTCTTTGAAATTGTCTTTCGGATCCTTGATATTAATATCATGAATTTGAAACGTACAATTTATTAGTTTTCAGTTGGGTATGCTCTGATTTTGCATCTTTTTTGCTCTAGGAACTGGAAGGACGACCTTTACGATTGAATATGGCATCTGACAGAGCTCGCTCTAATACTGAAGCTTATGCTGAGCAGAGTGCATAAATTTCATCTGTTATCCCTTAAAAAAAAAAAAAAAAGAGTAATGCTGAAATGCTATTTGACTGATTTACCACAATTATAAAGAGGAATAATTTCTAGAGGAATTACTCAATCAGGCTTCTTCCATTTTGATCTCATTAAGTTGTAGTTCATATATTCTTGTACGCCGTAGAGTATGGTCCTAAGGTGTAAATGCAGCTAAATTTTTTTCGTGTAATACTTATTGTACTTTGTATAATTGTATGATTCAAATTCTCAAGATTAATGTATATCCAGTTTACTGTTATCCGATTGAGCTTTATAATAAGGAAAATTTACAAATTGTAGCCATTAAAAAAATAATTGCAAATTGCAGCCCAAAAGTTGTTATAAATTGCAACCTAATTAAATTGTTTCATCGGTTTACGTGTCGAAAAATATTCGGTTAAGGTTTTAACGGTCATTTTAGTTCTTTAGGGTCCAAATTGAGCTCGAAATTGACAAAAAAAATTAACGCAAGTGTCTAGATTTTACAGCAAAAAAAAAAAAATTGCCCACAAATCAATATATGTTTGGTACGCAAAACGAGACACTTATGTTATTTTTTTGCTAATTTCGAGCTCAATTCGAGCCCTTACGAGCTAAAATGGCCCCTAGAATCTAAACTGAATATTTTTCGACACTGAAAGCGATAAAAAAAATTGAATTGAGTTGTAATTTACGATTTATAAGAAGTTTTGGGTTGCAATTTACAATTTTTTTTAAATGGCTGTAATTTACAAAATAAAAATTTTAAATGGTGCAGTTAGCAAATTTTCCTTATCATATTTTTGAATGTACAAGTCCACAATGCCCTTGTTTTTACAGCACATACAATTTTTTTTTTTTTTTTTTTTTTTTTTGTGCATGGCAAAATGCTGATTCCTTTTCCAAATTTATTGCAAATAAAAAGATATATTGGAGCGTTTAACAACAAAGGAATTTTAACTTCCAAGATCCAATATGACCATCAAAATAACAATCTTGGTTTCACTACTTAAGCAATAAGCCCCAGAGTTTGATTCATGGTGTGAAACCTTCAGTCATAAGCCCACACGGATTTGCTTCTTCATATGCAGCAAGAAGGTTAATCCTCGATGCCAACATGCCACTTGGTATGTTAAGTGGGTCGATCAAGGTTCTTCACTGGCTCTTGTAACCAGTGAGTAGGGCATCAGCAGCAGAGTCTAAATCATGAGGAAAAAAGACCCTGTACCATACAGTAGAGCAGATTTAGTACTACAGTATAATACTATAATGCATCTACAAGTAGGGTATCCGCACTGTTATGTGTAATAATGCATATGGTCTTGTGGAAGATGATAGATTTAATCATGAATGCAACATAGTGTTGATTTAAATTGTTGCCATAAAAGAAGCACAAATATATAATTCAACGCCCACAAAATTTACCTGCAAGTGTTGTGGTACACATTCTGACTCAGCTGATTTATGTCGGCAATACCCTTGCAGCCAGCAACCACCTCGAGGACTTGCCTACGATACAGGTGGATCACACTTATAGACCGACAACAATATCAAGAAAAAAAGCCACAATAAAGAACAATAATCATAAGCAAAAAAAGAATGATTTCAAATATATGATCCATCACAAGTGCAGAGTACAATAAGAGAGTCCCCGAAACTGATGCTTAAACAGCCCTGAGAATTCAAACATAAATTTGTGATAGACCCAACTGGTGCACCCAAACAATCACTAAAGGTGTATGAGAGAAGAAGAAAGGGGAAAGCAGGGAGTGTCCAAAGGGAAGGGAGCAAATACCAGCCATCAAGTGGGAGCATGGCAGAAACAGACAAAACAAATTAATGTTCCACTATAGCATTGAGCAATTGTGAATGGGACAAGCTGATTCTCTGATGTAGTAGAAGAAAAAGTTTATTAAGTCCAGTTTATTGTAGTAGCTTAAGTATAAATAGCTAATAGAACAGTAGTAGCATGTTATGTGAGAATTTGAATGTTATTGACGAGAGAATTGTAGCCTCAAGCTGCTAAGAGAGACAGCCTCAAGCTACTAAAGCCTTTGTCTTCTAAATTTCTTGCATTACCGAACTTACAATCTAACAAACTCCAGTCCATAACAAAATTCTACAGAACTCACTCAGCAAAGGGTGCTAATAAGAAACACATATAACAAACTTGAAAGCTAGGATGTTTCCAAGATGCATAGAAAGCAACCAGACAAATAATAATATAAAATATAGAAGCAGTATCTGGACACTGAAACAGCATTAAACTAGTGCTACATGCTGCTTTAGATTAATTTTCTTGTGAGTGATAATAGAAGAGAAGAAAATTCTAACACTAGAATTATGTTTACATTACAAGCCAGGGTTACCTGATTATCTAACTATACAACCAACACTCTTTCCTATTTTGCGATTGGCAGCTAGATCATATTTGCAACATGCTAATAATAGCTCAGGACACATCAACATGCTACTGTTTATCTACACAATTTTATCTTACGAAATACGAACACCTATGATTAAGAAAACAAAAAACTGCACGACAATAATGTATCAACAGCACATCATTACATTGTACAAACCAGTCTGAAGCAAGAGTTGCTTGAGAGCAATTGAAAAAAAGTGCATAAAAATCTATCTAGATAACCAATATAGCAAACACCAAAGACAAAGAACTAGGTATGTTTTAATAAAAATTAAAATTGAGATACTGAATAAAAGGATATTGAATGCTTGTAACAAATTCAGCATAGTGAACATAGATCACTCAAAGTAAAACGCAGCACGACCACCTGAAATTGTAACTTAAGAATTGAATTACACTAACCGAACCAAGCAGGGTTCATTTCGCCCTTTGACAAGGCACTCCGAATCATATTTCTCTTTCTTTTTCGATGGCCATGTCGACTTAATCATTTTAATTCCTGCATGAGTGTTCTTAATATCACAGTATGGCGAGTCAGTCTCAATCATCATTCTCTCAACAGGTATTCCCTTCACCACCTCCAGATTCTCAGTTGTCTTCAGTGAGCAACCATTGACCCCTGTTTGTAAATGTCAAAAGTGAAGAATCACAGGTCAAGTTTTGATACTGCTTGAAGCAACAGTCATGCATGAAAGGAACTGACAATATTCATTAGCAAAGTCTGACTTTCATATTAAACAACATATGAATTTTTAAGCAATATTTACAATAATTTCCATAGCTTCAAGATGTTCTAAAAATTAAGCAACTTCAACCACATTACATGAAGATAGTAACAGGAAATGGATTTTGGATTTCAAACACAAACAATGGAAAAAGAAAACTAGCTTTGGAACTTTGGGAAAGCAAAGTGGACAATACAGGAGAAACAATGCAGAATCCTTCACTGCAAGGGAAATGTTAAGTACAAGTTTGGGTTAGCCTACTTAGTGTTTCCGTAGTTGAGAGTCAGTTAGGTGTAGAAGTACTAGAGGCCTTATCAATTATTCTCCCATTCCCCAACAGGCTACCCCTAAAGTTATCAAGAGTCAATTAATATTCTTCAAGAAACTAGAATGCGCATGAGTGTACAGGATTTCCTGAAAAGGCCCAAAAGATATAAAATATAAACTGCCATGCCTTATTTAATTTTCCAAATTGGTCAATAACTGCAAATCCACAATGTATGTCAAATTTTCAATTATCAATTACTTTTCTCACTGTGTATTAATATACTATTGATCAAATCTAAAGTTTGCTCAACTAGTGTCTAAAACCCAAAGAATGAAACATAGTAGAAGCTTGCTCTGGAAGTTAGTGTATTCACCAATGTACAAATTACTGAAAGAAAGTAGTTTATCACGATCTTCTGCACTTCCAGTGAAAGAATGAGCAACTCCAGATAAGAACCTACAAGCAAAAAAGGTGACAATGACATCAAATTCTGCATCTATAGAGAGTATACACAGCCGAAATCCATCAGTAACTAAATACAAGTTGCATGCTATATTTCATAAACATTTCAATACAGAAAACAACAAATCCCCTGCCAGCATCTTATCATTCGTGCAAGTATTCTTCTCTCAACTATATGACTCGTAATCAAGTTTCAGCAACACTTACAATCAAGAATCAGTAAGATTGATGTTATCCAGTTTAGGATATGAATTGTCACAAGTATATAGACATCTTGTAAGTTGTAATATTACAAATTTTTTTTATCACCGGGTTGATGATTACAGCCAAAGAAAGTTTGTAAGTACTCAGTAAGAGTGCAAACCAGCTGACTTGAGTATTATTGCTGTATTGACATGTTCAGGTTCACATACTGAATATTGTTCTCAACTTAGACAAAATCTTAACTAGCTTTACCACTCTGTATTCAGCTCAATTTATAGATTATAGTGAACTAGATTTCTCTTACAAATTCGACTAATAATTCCAAACCATAATATAGAAATGGAAAGTCTGAACTGCAAACAATAGGAACTAAAGCATAAAATCCATATATCATCTGCTGAGAGCATCACAGGGGCAACTAACATCTTGAGTTTATAGGACAAGAGCTACACATAAAGACACATGTATTCCAACTTCTTTAGATCTTTTCCACAATTGTCATTTATATTTTGATCATCATTACTTCCACAGCCCATTTGATCAATATATGAATGTGGAAGTACTCATATCTTAGTTATAAAAGGCGCAAGGTCGCACCAAGGCGCAAATGATCCTTGCAGCCTAGGCGCGAGGCGAAGGCGAAGGAGCGCACCTTTTGTATGCAAGTCGGCAAAGGTGCATGTATTTATATATTTATTTCAAATTATTTTTTACTTTGATTGTACATAATACCAATTAAAAAGATTCATAATAAATTAAATAATGATATATGTAAAGCTAAGGTAGTCTGAATTTGAAAAAATGTCGATCATTCTTCAATTTATAACTTAAATCTTAGTTATTTTCCTTGAGGCGCAAAGGCGCGCCTTACCAAAGGCGCTTTGAGGCGCGCAACTTTTGTAGGTGACTGAGCCTCGCCTAGCTAAAGCCCATTTTCCAGGAAGCGAGGCGCCCTTTTTAAAACCAAGACTCATATATTAGTAATGAGAGTTGAATGACAATGTCTATAGTAATGCTTGTCTACCCTGAAGTTTTGATTTTTCATCATAAAATTTTATTACTATATTATAACCCCTCTAAAGGGCAGTGGCTGAGACCTTTCACACAAAATTACATACAGATTCATTACCATTGTTAGGAAGATAAAGTATTTAGATTAATGTCTTTAATTTTCATACTCGGGAGATATTTTCTCATAGACTCATAGTTAATTAATAATTATATCAGAATCTTTTAAAATGATTATATTTGCGGTGATGCATAATCTTGGATGTTCTTTATCACTGAATTTTATCCCTTGAAATTTACTATAAAGTTCTTAGTTTAGTTTAATCTTCCTTTTGTTAATTTTTGGCACTTGATTGAGTCATATAATTGGAGTCATATAACTGGTTTAATTCATTGGTCTATCGGGATTCGACCCTTACTTTCCCATCTATATAGTAGAAGGTCCACTAAGGTTATTTTTGTTAGGAACGTGAGATGCATATTAACCATTGCCACCAAATTAATAATATTGCCTTTCAAACGGGGTGTCAAAGTTCAGGTATTCCCTTATAATACTTCACTTACGGTTGACGAGTGCGGTCCGGGAACACTTTGGGGTGACTTACGGTTCTCAGGATCATAAATAATTGTGGCTTATACTAGGTCCAGCACAACAATCACTTATATGTTACGGGTTTATAAGATAGATGTAATAACATTAAGTAAGATCATACTCTAATAAGACAACAAAGACACAAAGATAATAATGTACCTGCTTTTATTGCGATCAAGAATATCACAGAAATCTGCTGCAGCTTCACGCATATGCAGGAACATTGGCAGCTTCATAGCATTTGCCAATTCGAATTGTTTCTCAAAATACCTAGGACCAACCAAAGAAAAATAAATAACTAGCTCATTTTCACATGACAAAAAGTAAGCAGTTAGAACACACACCCAAAGAAAGAAAAAAAAAAAGCCACCAAGGATTATATAGAAGTAACATACTTCTTTTGGATATCAGCTTGACAAAACTGAAGTCTGTCATAGTCCAGTCCACATTCACCTATCGCCACAACCTTAAATAGTAAATCATAAATATCAAGCACAAAATCAATACAAGTCAATAAAAGAACCATCATCATTCATCCCCAAGTATCTAAGGGAAGAAGAATAAAGTATAAATTAATCAAGGCCCAAATTGAATTCAAAGTTTCTAACACAACATACTCTCCTTAAGAGATCCATGTGGCAGCAGATGGATGCAAACAGTCTTAATTGTCACTGAAATCACCCCCCTCCCCCACGCCACCCCAACAAAAAAAGGGAAAAACCTCTAGCCAGTTTACATAGCAAAGAAAGTGATGCTCCAACAGTCTAATGTGAAAAACAGACAATGAGTAAGATAAATTACAAAGTCACAAAATGGAGGTTAGAGAGAATATATGGTACACAATAACTTTGAATAAAATGGAGCAATTTTACACAATTAAGTCAAACAAGCAGTTTTACGATTATATAGAAGTACACATGATGAAACTTGATCGATTGAGTTATATGTTTCAGATTAGTAAGCTTTCATATATTACTGACTACTGGCATCAAGAGTTCAAGACAAAAAAGAAAGCTTTGTTTACATTAGATGAGATTCTTCAACATAAATAATGATCAGATTGCTTTTGAGAGGACTGGTGAAAAATAGCATTATTATGTGGACAGAATGATATAGTTACGCACAATTTGAATGCTGATAAAAAAGCAAACATAGTGTGCCCCAAAAAACTTAGCAAGTCCCAGTAAGATAAGCACATAATCAAGCTCCAAAATCATATACTCGCCACTAACCCAAATGAAATTTCAGTTGAAAAGAATTTGTCCCTACCTTTCCCTTCTCCACTCCCTCCTTAGCTAGGGATAGAAGTGCTTGAAAATGTTTTTCAGGATCACCACTTTCTTCGAATTCCTAAAATTAACATGACATTTCACCCAAGAAAATCACTCAAAATAAACTCAAGCAAGCATAATCATCTAAACTATCATCATATTGTAAGTTACAATAGTTAAATCAATTGAAAGCCATGCGAAACAAACAATGACATACATTGCATCTAGTTGGGTGCACACCAACAGTACAAAATAGCCTTCCTGAAAAGATCAACATCATAAATTACCAAATTTTATTTACCAATCCAAACTTAATACAATGTGTTCAATACAAGAAAGTAATGAAAATAGATCAAAACCATCAGTTTCTGCAATTGCTAGAGCTTTCTTTGACTCTTCAAGGGATCCTCCTGTCACCTAAACCCAATAAAAACTGAAATTATTTCCACAAAAAAAATCATTAATTTCATGGTAATTACAGCACAATTGATTAATATACAAAAACCCCAGATAAGAATTGGAGACAAATTATAGATTTCAATGGAAAACAGAAAATGGGTATCCCACAAAAATTAGAAAGAAAAAAAAAAAAAAAAGATGAATTACAATGATTCGATCAACTCCAGCGCTCCAAGCTCTGCTCAAAACAGTTTGAATATCCGGGACATGACAATGCTTGCCATGATAGATTCCCTTAAACATGCCATCTAAAAAATTACAGAAAATTGACCAAATTAATATAGATATAAAATGGGGAAGAAGAATGAAAATGAATACCAAGTGTTTGATAAAATGCCTGACCTGTGAAATTAACTGCTATATCTGTTGAAAGAGAGAATGATGATTAGGATATATAGTGTTGGTAGTTTAGCTAAGAATTACATGAAGAGAGTATAATTCATTACTTGCCTATCATCCGTAGTGCAGGAGCTGCCATTGGCAGTGCCGAAATTCAACTACTTTGAACTATGAAGAGCCAGATTATTCAACTCTCTCTTTAATTGGGTTTATGTTTATCTCCCCAAATCCTAATCAATTTAGTAATTTTATTATTTTTAGTAATAGTAGTTAATTATGTAGGAAAAGAAAATACACAAAAATTAAAAGATGATGTCATAAATGGCATGAAAGTTCAAGTTAGTGAAATGACTATGAATTTGTGATGATGTCATATGCCTAATCTACTTATCAATTTATTTTATTTTTTTTGACATAAGCTTAAGCAAATTACATATAAATATTAAAGGACGAAAGACTATTGCTGGCTATAGTAGCTAAGTCATGAGCTTTCTGGACCATGTCTCGGTGAACCTATGGATGCAGCACCAATCAAAACAAGTGCTCAGCTGTCGAATTCGATTTGTCGTTCAACGAAGACCAATATCACTTACATGTGTATTTCTCAGTAGTAGAATCATAGACGTAGAGTCCGTGTATATAGTTACCGCTGGCAATGACTTTGTTGCCGCCCAGTGTAGACCTTGCAGGCAGGCGTTCATCTCCGCACGTAGAGCCGATTAGGCCAAACCACTGCTAGCTCCTCCTAGCAGTTGCCCTTTATCCCCCGGATCACCACTCTCTGGGCACCAACCCATTCCTGATCTATGAGTGTACTTTGCTTATGCAAAGAACCATCAACTAGAATAACCATTGGCATCACAGTCATCCCACTATTATGAAGGACAACACGCATAAAACCAGGTGGGTAATCCATCTCTGGCGGGTGTAAAGATCTCAGACTATCCTCAAGTTTCTTGACGAACAAACCCTGTTGCCGCAATCCCTCAAATATTATTGTCGGCGTTGACTGGTTAGCCGTCGTAGAGGATCTAAAAACCCTGTTATTCCGTGCTATCCACAAACCCCACAAGGTTGCAATAAAAAAGTAGTCCTATAACCATTGTGACCATCCTGACCTAGAAATAGGCGGATATAATACAGAACCCAATCCTGAAAAGACTGGTCTGCGTTAACTTCTGAGTGGATCTGCAAGATTCCACCCCTCCAAACATCCCGAGAAACTATGTAAAACTTGAACAGATGTTGTAAATCTTCCTCCTGCGACCCACAAAGGTCACAATCCATAGAAATCTGAAGCCCCTTCTCCCTAAATTACTTTTAGTAGCTATTCCATTCCAGAGAAGTTTCCATATAAAAAGTTTCCACTTAGGAAGAATGTTGAGGGACCAAAGAACCTTAAAAATATCCTCTTGTCTAACATCCCTCGAGCCCACGACATAACGTTTAAGGAATGCATACCCCGTTTTTACTGTGAATCTTCCTGACTTGTGAAACTTCCAGAACATGTAGTCTTCCTCTGCTTGCTCTGGTAATTCCAAGCTAGCAATAACCGAAGCATCCTTGGGTTCAAAGGTAGAGATAAGGCGCGCCTGGTTTCAGTCATGAGTTTGAGGGTCCAAAAAATGACTCACCCTCCAAGTTTTAGCTTGACGGAGCGTGATATTGTTGGAATTAAAAATCGGAACCTTACCTTCCATCCACCTGTCCTTACCCGCCAATATGGAGTTTCCATTCCTTACCTTCCATCCACAACCCCTAAGAAGGTTATTCCCGGCTCTAGCAAGACCCCGCATGCCCCAAGATAGGTTCTTGTTTGTCACCCTAACCTGAGTCCCTTTTAAGAGCGGAGATTGAAACCTTGCTGAACATACCTTAGCCAGTAATAATTGGGGATTGTGAAATAATCTCCACGTCTATTTCATAAGTAAAGCCTCGTTGAAGCAACCCAAGCTTCGGACCCCTAAATCACCCATTCCCTTCGGAAGGTTGACTTTATCTTTACTTACCCAGTGCACCCCCTTATGGTCTCTGTTTACCCAAAGGAACCCAGCTAGCAGAGAGTTAACTTTGTTTGAAATACTAGTAGGCATCTCAAAACAACTTAGCACATGGGAAGCAATAGCAATGAGAACGGAATTGATCAAGATGATTTTCTGAGGTTGGGATAGAGGGACCGCGTTCCACCTCGAGATTCTTTTCCTAATGTTATCAATGATGAACTGAAAGGACACCCCTTTACGACCCATCAGGCCATCAAGTCAATAGGTACCCCCCAAATGGACACCAAATTGATTAAACTGATCCATCTCCAAACATGATCTAAATCCATTCTGTATTTGAACCGGGGTATTTGGACTGACCTTGAAATGTGAATTTGCAAGGTTGAGCTGCTGACTTGAGACCATGCAAAACCTCTTGAGAATGCCAGAAATGGCCATACAACTTCGATCTAACTCTTTGAAAAATAAGAGGGCATCATCTGCTAAAACAAATGTGAAATAGAAGGGCCCCTCTTTCCTAATTTAATACTGTCAAAAGTCTCATTTCACAACCTTGTTGAAGCATCCTAGAGAGTACATCCATATAAAACAAAAAAAGATAAGGTGACAACGGATCTCCTTGGCATAGACCACAAGAAGGTCGGAATTGGTCACTCGTCTCCCAATTCAGTAGAACTTTGTAAGAAACCGTCGAGATACACTGTCTGATCATCTGAATCCATGTTACTGGGAACCCGTAGTGTTGTAGTACCCTCTCCAGAAAAACCCAATTAACCCTATCATAGGCCTTACTCATGTCGATCTTCATTGCCGCCAAATAATCCCTACCTGACACCTTTCTATTTATTTTATCCATCACCTCGTGAATCAAAAGAATATTATCAGTCATTTTGTCATCCTGTTATAAAAGCATGTTGAGACTGTGAAATGAGATCCGGCAAAGCTTTCTTCAAACGATTAACTAAACATTTAGAGACGTATTTGTAGACCGTATTGCAAAGATTGATTGGTCTAAGATTCGCTGTGACCTCTGGAATTTCAACCTTTGGTATCATAACTAAAATTGAGTGGTTCCACTCCCTAAGTATAAACCCTATGTTGAAGAAACTCTGCACTGCAAGAATTACTGACTTTCCCAATGTATCCCAATGTTTCTGGAAAAAGGCCGCCGTGAAACCATCTGGACCCGGACATTTATCCCCATTTAAACTAAACATTGCCCTAAGGATCTCATCTGCAGAAAAGGGTCTGGTTAAGATAGCAACCTGTCTGTCACTCATAGTTGGAATATCTAACTCCCTTAATAGTGCATCAGTGTGAGCAGCAGAATTTGTCCCTTGTTGGGGACACAAGACCTTTGTCATTGAATCAACCACCAGATCCCTAACCTGTTGTCGATCCTCAATCCATGTGCCCGAATCATCCTTAAGAGTCAAAACTTGATTCCCGCATTGGCGCATCTTAACCCTTGAATAAAGTAAGGATGTTGGAATGTCCCCCGTTGCCTCCCATGTTTCCTCCATCCTTTGCTTCCAATATGTCACATTTAAGGCAGCAGTAGTTAAGGCCTCCTCAACATGATTAAGGTACGAATGAGCAAGGGGAATATTTGTGGCGGCCAAGCTGTCTAGCTCTAACTCAGAAGTCAAAACCTTCCAATTGACTCCCCAAAGTTTGGTGTTTTTCAAACACCAGTGCCGCAAACGTCCCCTTAAAGCAACTAACTTCCTAGTTAGATAGTACATAGGTGACCCTGCAATTGGCTTCTTCCATTTCTCTTCGATAATGGTTCGAATATCTTGAAAATGAAGACACCAATTTTCCACTTGATATGGTCGTTTTGCTATCCTTGTGAAAGCATCATTGTCAAAAACAATAGCTGCATGATCAGAAGCAACTAATGGTTGGTTTATAATCCGACTTGCCGGAAAGTTGTAAAACCAATCATTTGACATATAACCCATATCTAAACGCTCCAAAATAAGACCTTGAGTGAGCCTTTTGTTAGTCCAAGTATATCGTGGCTCTGAGAATGGAACATCTAATAGGTGATTCTGTAACTTCCAGTTAGAAAAAACATCACTACCCCTTATACTTGATGTGCCACCTAACTTATCCTCAAGTAGTTCAAGTTGATTAAAATCACCTAATAATAGGCAATTAGGGAGTTAGTGTAGATTAAGTAACAGATTGCTCCAAAACTCAAACCTATCTTTAAAAGTCGGCGGTCCGTACACAAAAAACACATTCCATGTCATTCCGTTGCCCTTCTCAATTTTACAGTGTACAAAATTAGGAGTCTTACTAACACAAGAGATAGCTAAACCACCCCAACCTAAAACAACAAGGCCCCCACTTTGGCCTTCAGCATCTATTCCAGTCACAAAAGAAGGCGTTGTAGTCTGAAATAAACTTGCTACTGTATTAACAGCACACTTAGTTTCAGACAAGAACAAGAACATAGGTTTATGTATATTTAAAAGCCACATAATATATGGTAGCTTTGTAGTGTCGGAGGTATTTAGACCCCGACAATTCCATGCTATGGTCTTTATACTAAAGAAGGGGAACTATTCCCCGCATCCGTTTTAGGCCTAAGTTCAAGACTTCCTCCATTTGAAACCCCAATAGTGAACTCCCATTTTGCATCCCAGATATCAATCCTAAGCTTCCTTCTTTTATGCCTCCAATCAAAAGAGCAAAACCTTGCATTTGATGAACTATAGGAGTATCCTTGGTCAATCTCAAAGCCTAATGGGCGTATCCTTTTTCGAGGCCAAGAGCTAGGTACCAAGTGCACATGTGTTATATCCAACAATGAAGCTGAATTAGGAGGTCTAGCTACCTCCATATCAGAAGAATAAAATCGAGAAATAGTTCCCTTTAGCAGAACATTTGGAGGTGCGCATGAGTGAACTTTTCCCCTGTATCTCATTGAAGGTAGAGAATTCTTCATTCGTCGGACCAATCGTGGAATATAGACATTATGACACACAAACCTTTGCATAGGATTTGACTCAGGTTGGAAAAGTGATATGTCTATTTTATATAGTATTTTACCCCCGTTCCTTGGTAATAATTAGTAGTGTTTTTGGCTCTTTTGAGCCACTTTTATTACTAATTGGTGTTTTCTAGTGTTTTCGTAGATTTGATTTACTTTTGTAGGGATTTGCACTTTTGGAGCATTTTCTCGAGATTTTATGGAGCAATTACGAGCATTAGAGAAACACGACCAGTTTCTATAGCCCAGGGCCGGTTAGAGCCCTCGAACCGGTGATACCGGGGCATTTGGATCGAGTATTCAAGACCCGAAGTGGAAATCCAGATTGGCCCCAACAATTGAAGCCCAATAAAAGTCCAAATAGTGGCCCAAGAGTGCTGCCCGGCCAAAGAAGCTGGCGCCCGAAGGCGCGCCCGGCCGGGCAAGGGAAGTAACTCGGCGCCCGAACTCGCGCTCGGCCGGGCGCGAGAAATGTAGCTGATGGAGAAAAGGCACGCCCGATCGGGCGGTGCCTCGCCCGATCGGGCGCGTGTTATTATTAGGAGTTAATTTTCGACGTTTAAGTTTGTTTTAGTTTAGGATTCTTGCTTAGTATAAATACTTTTCCGTTAAGCGAGTTTACGATCTTTTTTTTACTCTTTCTTAATTCTTTCTTAGATTTTCTCTCTCTACTTAACTTTTAGATTAGTTTCTCTCTCTTATACTTTTTTCTTGACTTTATTCTTAATTCCAGATTTCTTTGGTAACGATTTCTTTTCTCTTAATCTTAGTTATTTATTTTATTACTTTGATTAGTTTAGTTTTAATTATGTGTGATAGTGTTATTTCTAGGGTTTGTGGGGATCCATAAATAATATGAAGGGGTAATTTATTGTTGTTAATTGTCAATGCTAGATTAGTTTCCTATTGATTGATTTAATGTTCTGTGACTAGATTTGCGCAGATCTTTTATGCATGAGTTTGACAATATTGATTTGAGATTCGAGAGATGAGAATTGATGTTTAGGTCTAGTTTCAATAGGCAGGTTAATTTTTAAATGGTTAAGTCGAGATTCGAGAGATGAGATTTAATACCGGTAGATTAATTCTGTGATTGTAATACGTAGCGAAAGCCCTTTATGATCCGATTAATTATGCATTGATGATTGATTATTATGTTTTACCCTGGAATGTTATTTATTGGGAACCTATGCCCTAGGCCTTTTATTCATTGTTTTCTCCTTATTCTTAGTCTTTGTAGTTTAGTTCCCTTCGATTATAATACTTTGGTTACTTTATAATCTAGATTATATTAATTAATTAGGAATAGAAAGACTTGTTTTTCTGTGGATTCGACCCTACTTCCCTATCTATTTTAGTTAGTGGTTTTAGGAATTACTTTTGATTAGGTGATACGACTTTTGCCCGTCAAAATTTGGCGCCGTTGCCGGGGAGACGGTTTTATTTTTATTTCGATTATTTTTGTAGTCTAGGTTATTTCTTTTTGTCTCAAAGAACGTTAGTTCTTAATGGCAAGTCTCATATTTGCTTTTAGTTTTTTTTTGTTTATGCTCAGGTTTTCCATATCAGGTTACATCCCATTCGATCTTGAGATCGAACGATCCTTCCATAGACAGAAGAATATTTACAAGCAAATTCTTGCAGATTCTGGTGATAATAATAATCACCGAGATCCTCCAACTGATTTTAGCGATTCAGAGGTATCTTAGATCCAGAATCAGAGATGACAGCTCCAAAGAAGCTTAGTGATTATTCACAACCAAAGCTTACATATTTTCCACACCTCACTCCCACTCCAGCTCTTGATGGGGTACAGTTTGAGATTAAACCCCAATTTATAACGATGATAGAAAGGAAGCAATTTAGTGGAGCTAAGGGTGAAGACCCAAATCTTCATATTGCAGACTACTGTCAGTACTGTAATACCGTCAGGCAAGCTGGGGTCACACAAGACCAAATCAGGGAGATTTTCTTTCCTTTCTCTTTAACCGGAAAAGCCAAATTATGGTTTAATGGTTTAAATAGAACTGCGCTTGGTATAACTGACTGGGAAACTCTTGTTTTGAATTTTTATAACAAATATTATCCTGCACAGAGAACAGTTGTACTACAGAGTGCAATTCAGAACTTTTCCCAAGAAGCCGATGAAAATTTATATGAGGCTTAGGAAAGGTTCAAGGACCTACAAAGAGAATGCCCCCACCATAATTTGGCACAATGACAGTTAATCCAAGCCTTTTACAATGACATTGGAAATTCATCTATAATAATATTAGATTCTGCAGCTAGTGGGAGGTTTATGAACCTTAATGTTGATGATGCAGGTCAAGTTATCGAAGATATGACGATACATAATTCCCAATATGGGAACCCTAGAGGCTTTGCTAACAAGGGGAAGCATAATGTTGATTTTATATCCTTTTTTCAAGCTCAATTAACCTCTATCTACCAGAAATTAGATAATCTTATCACTGCTAATGTAGCTAATGTTTTTGCAATTAATAATAATGCTAATGAGGCTTTCTGTGAAAATTGTGGAATTTTAGGTCATTGTGAACAAGATTTCAGGAGTTCCGTGGAGCAAGTCAATGCCTTTCAAGCTTATAGGCAGAATAACCCATACTCCAACACCTACAATCCTGGGTACCGGAATCATCCATATCTTTCCTATCGGAGTACCAATGTTCAAAATCCACCACCACCACAAGAACCACATGTGCCACAACAACAACAGCAGAAATATTACCACCCCAATGTTGGCCAGAAGAACCAACCACAACATTCCTCCTCATCTTCCGACCCTGCTTTGGTAGAAATTAGAGCGATGTTGGTTAATATGCAGAAGCACATGAAGAGTAGAGATGCCCAAATTAATTGATTCGATCCTAGCACACAATAAAATTGTAGATAATCAAATTGCCCAACTTTCCGCTACTCTACAAGTCCGTCAACAAGGAACCCTGCCAGCACAGCCAACCAGGCCTATGGATCAAGCCTATGCAATTACTCTAAGGAGTGGTTCAAACTATGAAGGGCCCCCTATGCCCAGAGATGATGAACCTGTTTTAATAAATAATGCTAATCTTGATTCCGTTAAACCTGACAATGTAGCAAATAGCCCTGCAGGGCTAAAGAATAGTACTAATATATCTGATTGTACATTGCAGGGTACGACCCCAGGGAAGGTAGCCACTCCAGATAAGAGCAATAATGCTCTAAAGTCAGTTATCAAACTTCCATTCCCCAATCGTCACTTGAAAATAAATTTGGATAAGCAGTTTGGTAAGTTTCTGGAGATGGTAAAAGATTTGAAGGTAAAAGTTCCCTTCACTGAATTAATTACACAAACTCCTGCATATGCAAAATTCATGAAGGAAATATTGACAATAAAAAGATCTTTTAGTGAGGTAGAGACAGTAGCTTTCACTGTAGAGTGTAGTGCCGTACTTCAAAATAAATCTCCACCTAAATTAAAAGATCCGGGTAGTTTTTCTATCCCTTGTCATATTGGCAATCTAGTGATTGATAATGCATTGTGTGATTTGGGTGCTAGCGTTAGTGTTATGACATTATTTGTATGTTCCAAGTTAAATATGGGTAAATTAAAAGCTACCAATATTACTCTACAAATGGCCGACCGTTCTTTTAAATACCCCTTAGGTGTTCTAGAGGATGTTCCTGTTAGAGTAGGAAAATTTTATATACCTGTTGATTTTGTTGTTCTTGATATGGCTGAGGATATGTAAACCCCAATTATTTTGGGTAGACCATTCCTTAACACTGCAGGAGCAATTATAGATGTGAGAAGTGGAAAATTAACACTATCAGTAGGGGAGGATAAAGTTATTTTTAATCTTAATAATACCCCAAAAAGCCCCATGACAGAGGAGAAGTGCTTTAGTGTTAATGTGGTTCAAAGTTATTCTAACAAGCCCCAAGCTCTTGTAAAAGATCCCTTGGAGGAGATATCTTGTGTTGCATCCCTTTCAGATGAGATAGAAAAATGGCAGAAGGAAGTTGATTCAATAGAAAGAGCCCTCTACACTGTCGGTCTTGGCTTCGAGGATGAGAAGGTGGAATCAAACAAGCAAGTTGTGGAAACTGAGCCCACGGTGAGTGTTCCGCCAGATCGAGTTGCAAGTGCCAAATGCAGTGACAATATTAAGCAACCATCGATCGAAGAGGGATCCTTATGCATAACATTGAAGAACCCACATTCCAAGTCAAAGAAGATCCACTAGATGAAGTGTATTGGCGTCCCACAGGGTATGTCAGGAAACTGCGTCGTGGCCTAAACACCGCTCGACCGGGTGAGAAACCACCCGAACAAGCGTTAGGACAAGGGTCCTAGTTCTTGTACTTGGTAAGAAGGTCGTGCGGGACCTAGATAAACCAGCGCTTTGCGGGAGGCAACCCGTATTTTAATTCTTTTTAGACTAGTTTTTCTTTCTTTTTCTTATGCGAGGAGAGATGAGGGAATTTTTATGAGTTTTATGAGATTTTGTACAGGTTTGAAGGAAAAGAGTTAGCCAAAAATTGAAGAAAAGAAGAAAATAAGAAAATCGTCCAATTAGCCTCAGGCCCGACCGGGCGAAGCTCGCCCGATCGGGCGCGAGAGCAAGGTTAGAAAATCGGGTGTTTTCGCCCGGTCGGGCGAATGCCGCCTGACCGGGCGTGAACCTTGACGTATACGGACATACTAGATCGCCCGACCGGGCGCGAGAGAAGAACAATTTCTGGGCGTTAGATCGCCCAATCGGGCGAAGGGAGCCCGACCGGGCGCGAGAGGAGACGAAAAAAGGGAATTAGATTGCCCGATCGGGCGATAGACCACCCGACCGGGTGCGAGAGCTACACATGAAAAAAATTAGATCGCCCGATCGAGCGATAGACCGCCCGACCGGGCGCGACACCACTGTCCCCTTTATTCTTCTTCTTCCTTCTTCTTTCTTTCT